TAGTCATGCCATTCGGACTCTCCAACGCCCCATCTACATTTCAGTCACTAATGAACGAGGTATTCCAGCCCCATCTGCGCAAATTTGTTTTAGTTTTCTTTGATGATATCCTCGTTTACAACAATTCATGGGTAGAGCATGTCCACCATCTGAGGACCGTTTTTGAGCTCCTACGCCAACACAAATTATTCCTAAAATGGTCCAAGTGCTCCTTCGGGGAGCGATAGGTTCTTTATCTCGGCCACGTCATCCATGGGCAGGGTGTGACAGTTGATAGTTCCAAGATTCAGGCTATAAAAGAATGGCCCAAGCCTCAATCAGCCAAGGCCTTACGCGGGTTCCTCGAWTTAACGGGTTACTACCGCAAATTTGTACAGAACTATGGATTATTGGCGGCCCCGTTAACCAACCTGTTGAAGAAAAATTCCTTCTGGTGGGACGACGTAGCAGATGAAGCTTTCCTAACACTGAGAAATGCCCTGTCTTCCACCCCTGTCTTGCAATTACCTAATTTCACCCTCGAATTTACAGTCGAGTGTGATGCTTCCGGAGTGGGTATCGGGGCCGTACTACAGCAGCAAGGGCACCCAATTGCTTTCTTCAGCCGCAGACTGGTCGACCGGCACCTAAAGCACCCAATTGCATTTTGCATAAACCATATGTAAATGAGAATCTTGGTCAAAAATGCGTTCCATACGTAAATGTGCATTTTGTTCACCCTCTATCATAATGCCATTATGATAGAACACACAACCAATTTGGAGCTCAATAATGCCACACTGGCTCCAAATTTTTGTTTACTAGTTCAAACGGTCTGGAATGAACGAAATACTAATGCGTGGGAAATTGTATATATTATATCCCGCCCAAATCTTATGTCAAAAATTCAATGTATGTTTTGACTGTTAGAGCTATAATAAAATCTTTGCCAAATGAGTCCTTGGTTAATTGGTTATAGCTTCAAAGCAGCTCTATAAAGCTGAAGCCCTCCCAGTGGAGTAACCTGAAACTTAGCCATTCCATTGCAGTTTTAATTTTTAAATATTTTTCTTACTCATCGAGATTTATCTGAACTCTCGCCCATGACACCAATACTCTCACGCAACAAACGGAGCCTAAGGATGGTGCACTCGTATCAGAAATAAAACCCGGGTTTTATTTTTTGTCAAAATGTGTTCACATTATAAATGCATCACAAATAAATTGCTGGAGGCCCTTTAAATGTAAACACATTTTGACAAAACCCGGGTTTTATTTGTGATGCATTTATAAGTTCTCCACACCACTTAGCAGACCAGAAGTATAGACCCTAAATCAGTGTTGCATTTGTTGCGGTTTGCTGTCTGGTTTTGTGGTGTGTATTGAGCTTTCACCATGTGATGCATTTTGAGTCCGGATCTACTACCCTAAGTGGGTGAAAAATTCATATTTGGTGATAATGAGGGATGATCTTTTCCATTAATTATATTCTGTCACATATATAACCACAGAAATGCTTACGGTACCTCAGCAATACATGTCTAACTTTTTCAATATTGGTAGCCAATTTTTTTTTTTTTCCTACGGTCCTACC